CAGACGGACGGATTCCCATGGCTCTGGAGTTTCAGATTGCACTTGACGCAGAATGATTAAGGTCAGCTAAAGAACAACTAAATTAAATGCTGCATTCCTTGTGATCAGGGAATTTAACAGACACTCGAAGGAACTATGCAGAGGCCCTTGCCAAGCTCTTAAAAGGAAGGTACAGCATATCCATCATTATTACTTTCAGTGCCAGTATAGGTTTCAGCTTTCCAAAATATCCTATATATGCTATACCATGAGAAAAGCTGTTTTCTTTATACAGAGAGACAACATTTAACAATTTTTTTGTAAAGCTTCTTGGTGAACGTTTTCTGTGTTCGTCAGACTGAGAAACTTTTCACAGGCTGTTCAATATGAGTCCCACTTTTGTGTTTGTTGCTACTGACCTGCCAGCCCATTCCCTCATGCATCAGTAACCTCTCTAATGAGGAAAAAACACCGGCACAGATGGACTGAGCAGGGGAGGAGAGTGCGACAGATGAGCGGATGCGCAAGAAACCGAGGATGATGGAGAATAACCGGTTACTAATATGTAGTGCTTTTTCAGTTAAGACAAATGTTGGACTTTTAGTTAGACAAACTTGTGTCAGAGGCAGAGGAAGTAGTGAAACTTTTGTTTTAAATACAGACAGACCTATACGATGTTATCAGGTCAGTGATTCTTGGCACTTTGGACTGTACTGAACAACATTACAGAAGTAACACAAAGGATTGCAGCATCAAACCACATGGTCTAAACATTTCTGTGTAGACACGAGGCCTCTGCTCTTACAGTAACATCCGCTTCTGATTAAAGCGGGTCTGTCTCTGTCCTGTTTAATTCAACATTAGAAGAGACTGGGGCCAGGTTTGGGGTAGGAGGCTGTTCGCTGCGTCTGATGTCTCTATTAACATGACTCCATGTTGCATTTTCTTTAACACTCAGGAACAAATGAATGATGCACATCTACATTCAGAGCCCTTATCATGACACGGAGTAATACATGTATGTCACTGTTTACTTAGTTAAGTAAGATATTTAAAGTCTGAAAAAACAACATAGTATAGTAGGCCTATGTCTAAACAAATATGAAAATAAGACAACATAGTCGGAAATATGCAAAAAACGACATTCAGAGGAGCTACATTGCATAGTATGTTGACATGTTCTGAAAATACTACATATAGAATGTCGAAATTATCCAAAAAAAACACATAGTAGGCCTATACTATGTCGAGAATATCCACAACAAGTACATTGCATAGTATGTCAAAAAAGATACAGGAAACTGACATATTGTATGTCGCAAATATGCAATAAATAGGCATAGTCAAAAAATATACAGAAGAACAATATCGTATAGTAGGCTATGTCGAAAATCTTCAAAAAACGGCATGTTATAGCTAGGCCTATTATGTGGAAAATATTAGGATGTCGAAAATATGTAATTTTACTTAAGTAGAACTTGAGTAACTTTCTCGCATAGATTTTTTGAGTGAACTCCAAACATGAAAACCCTCTGAATGCAGATAAACATATAGCAGATGTATTGTGATGAAGAATGATCTATCTGTTTTGCTGCAGTACATTAACATGCAAGTCCGCAGCCCAACAAACTGCAAAGCATCTTTGTGCTTTTACGTCACAACATTAATCATTGAATTTCCAAACGATTATGTTGAATAATTTATCTAGGCATCTGATCCACGCTAAACTTTTAATAACTATTGGTTTAAAGGTGGGGTAGGTAACTTTGGAGTAACCAGCTCAAGTGCGCTAGAATTTGAAAATACACAACCGGGAAAAATCTGCCACTTCCTTACAGAGCCCCTCCTCCAACACACACGAATGCGCACATGACCAATGAGGGCACGAGATAAGTTTGTGCACAGATGGAAGGCCGACAGGCAGGTAGGCCATCCCAGTTTATTTTAGCCGGGCGACATCCTTTTTATGGATCTTTTGTAAAAGCACAAAGATATTCATTGCTATCGGGATGTTAAGAGCATTCCATGGAATATAACAAAAAGTGTATCTCGAGCCGGTTTCTCAAACTTACCCCACCTTTAAGTGCGTGTGTGAGAGATAAATGTTGGAAAAGTTTCCACCTCACTTAGAGCTGCTAACAATGCATTTTTCTGTAAAAACAAATGATGCATGACAACTTGTATTTTAAAGGGGTTGATTGAGAATGATCAACCAACTTGCTAGTTCCCTTACAGCTAATTGTTTTGTTTTCAAGCAAATTGTTTCCACTTCCCCAAATAGACTAAAAAGTCATTAACTGGTGTACAGTCAGTGTTAAGTTGATCTCTGGGAACGTCTCCTGTTTGCCATAAAGACAATACTTAAGGTGCTAGTTAACATGAACATTTTGAGCTTATATAAAGCAGATATGTCGCCAGATTATAACTGATTGGTACCACGATTGTTAATGTGATTCACCTCTTTTACTCACTCAATGGCCTGTTAACCTGCATTTACCAAAGCACGCTAAATTGATTGATCAATACTTCTCTGACTTCAAACTAAAACCAGAAGGCTACAAATACCTGAATCTAGTCTAGTTGCCTGCAGATTCTGCATTCATATGTGGAATTTGTTAATAGAGTATAGGATTTGTTTAGTCTTGCTCAAGTGTTTCGGAGGTAGTTTCTTCTTTAAGCTCTTGATCAAAGAAGTCATCAATGTATGCATCCAGGCACGCCAGCATGAAAAATGTGTGAGGACTGTGGTCTATGGACTGAGGTTTGGTTAGCTACTGAACTGTTGATGGTTACAAAAAGGGAGTGTTTAAAAAGGACCTTAAAAGTAGCATAAGGAAAAATAACGTGTGAGACCTGTCTAGTTGTGCTCCTGGCCACTTGATGAATGTAAGACTATCTTTTAGGCGGCTGTGGCTCAGTGGGTAGTGTGCTGGACTTCAAATCAGGGGATAGCAAGTTCAAGTCCCACTGCAGTCAGCATGTCGTTGTGTCCCTGGGCAAGACACTTCACCCCAAATTGCTCCTGTGGGGATTGTCCACCATACTGAATGTATGTAAGTCACTTTGGATAAAAGCATCTAACAAATGACATGTAATCTTCTTTAGATCTGGCGTGACCAATTCCAAGAGAAAATAACTGATTCTTTATATCATGGCTAGACTTTTGATTTGAGGGCTTCACCAGCTAATGCCTTACTTTGTTTGTCTGCAGTTTAGTGCAAGGTGTGTGGTATAAATGAGGCTTATCAGAGCTCTTTTGCTGGAAACAGCTGCCGGCTCCTGGAAATGGTGTTGATGAGAGTAGAATGTGTTGGCTGCACAACTGAAGAACGAAAAGGCCTACTGAAGGCTGAGAGGCTGGAGACTTAAAGCACTTGAGCAGTTTTTAAGACATCAGAGCGAACTACAAAGTTGGATGATAACTCTTTTGGCAATACAAGCAAGCCCTTTCACAAGTAGTCATTTGATCCCTTGTTAATATAGAAAATATTCATCAGAGGAGCTCTAATGACAAAGTTTTCAATACACGCACACTCCTCTCTTCAGTTTTTTTTCCTCCTTCCTGTTGTTTGTCTTCTCCCTCTGATGTCTGAAACTCTGCGTGTGCTGTGGGTCTCATTTGATCTACAGCGTCAGACATCTGGAGCACTGCTGAACTGAAACACCTGTTTTCAATTCAGGCAACCGACAGAAACATTTGATTGTTTCTCACAAGCGTTTNNNCCCCCCCCCTCTCCCTCTCATTGACTCACTGGCTATTTGTTATGTTTAAGCAAAAGCACAGCTCTCCTATAGGTAATAGGTGGAAGAATAATTTGAACTTGATGAAGACCAATTGAGAGAAAATACAGTAAATGATTTTCCAGGCATTATCTCTGCAATTTTGGCACTTATAGCTATTCCGTAAGGTGGCTTTCTAATAGGTTGGGTATGTTTGGAATTATATTGAATGAGTAACGTCTGAATGTTTTACCCGTTTAACCTAATGGAAAATAATATAAAAAAATTCTGGAAGGAAGGCAACGTGTCAAATGATGTGTCTATACAGGAATGCATTACATCATACTAAATGAAATGCTGTAATCAACCCCCCAGAAATGTAATATATCTCATCTCTGATTGCTGTGTATTAACAAGCTGGACTGACATATTTTTTTCTGGCAAATCATATGTACATTTTATTTGGTGTTGAACAAGTATGCATGCATTGATGCAGGTAGCCCAACCACAGAATGAACGATTTTCTGAACAAAATGGAGTGAGAATAAAGAGTTTCCGTGGCGGCTTCCCTGCCAACTCCCTGAAACACTTAATTATGCCTAATTGTTTCGAGGACAGAACACACACAGAGGCAATTAGCAACGATATGCATGGGCAACTCTTCACACGGAGACAGTATTTAGGCAAAAGAATAACAAAGTATAATGTTTGCACATTCCATAATACTGAGTTAAACTATGTGTGCAAATAAACATATGATAGAGGCTATCACTGCATGTATTTAAAAAGCAACACTGCCTACTCAGTGCCTTACCCCACAATCTATCTTATCTATCCGACAAATACTATATACGTATTCTATAGTGTAAATACAAAAGTCCCGTTTTACAAAATGCAAATAAATATAATAGGAAAAATCATCAAAATGCTCAAAATGCTCCTGCTTGCTTGAGTTTACTATGTAGCATTTGTCTTTTAATAACCAACTATTAAAGGGATTTTCTTTTGTAAAAATGGCAAAAAAACTCAGTTTATAACACCACTCTTATATCGTAGAATAGTGTCTATCTTCTCATGTAACCCTCCCAACTTAAAATTCCTAGTGATATGATACAAAAAGTTACATACAAGTTAAATATGTGCAGGAATGTATGGATATACATATTAAATGACAAACATATGCATGCCAATGTCTTTGTACACGTACACACATATATAGGCACCACTGCACATGTATGAACACACTCATACATATTGTACAGACACACACTCACACAATCGCACACACACACACACACACACACACACACACACACACACACACACACACACACACACACACACACACACACACACACATCTCATGAAGAATTGGTCACTGCTCAACCAGCTGAAGTACTTCAAGAAAAAGCACAATAATTCACAATAAAAGTCTAAAAAGGTCCTGAAACATATATTTAAAACAATAATATGTGTAATAGATGTTGTTTCCATCTACAATGCATGAAGTAGTTTATCGTCTACCAGTATTCTCTCTTAATTTGGTCAATTCTTGAATCTGCTCTGCAATTCAATATTGTGCAAAACTGTATTTTTCAAATATGCATTAATGACAAAATCCCTTCTTGGATTACACTGCAACCCAGAGGATGGAAATGTTAGTGCCGCCCTCGTGTGTAATCTGGTTAACCCGTCCTCGAATACAATCCAGAGTCACATACACTGCTGTTCCATTCTGGACCGGAAATGAGGCCCTCAGCCCGATACTGGCCCACTCGCTCCCTTCAGGCATTGAACCAGACACCTGCTGGGCCACAGGAGCTGCCGTCCCCCCCGGACCCAACGCCTTCTGCATAGTGAGTCTGACAATATTGCAGGAGTGAATCAGCTTTAGATTGAGGGCAATGTTCGCCGTCCCTTTCTCATGGAAGACAAAGTTCTTCCTGCTGTTCGGCTCCCCTTGGCGAGACAAATGAACTTGGGGCGTGTCCGGGCTGATCTGCTGGAAGGACAGCTGCTTGTTCCTGACCGCTCCGGAGGGCAGACCGGTCTTGGACACGGTAGCGGTCAGGGCTGAAGACACTGCTGAAGGAATCCAGATAAGACTCAGCATACTGATCCCGGTGCTGTCCCCAAAGTAGCGGATGTTGCACTGGGAAGGAGACGTGATCTCAAAGCTGAGCGTGTCCCCGCCGGCTACGCTCACAGCGCCAGAGAGGGTGATGGAGGTGTCCCTGTAGTTGACGCCCGTCTTGAAGGCTTGCATCGCCTCCTGGCCGGTCCCGTTGCGGTTAGTGTAGGCGATCAGGGAGAAACCCTCTCTGATGCAGGTGTGGCCCATTGAGTAAAGCGCCTGCTGGAGGACGAACTTTACAACGCCGCTTTCTGTGAAGCGGACACCGCGGTTATCGTGCGTTAGAATGACCATGTACGGGTCGGAGACTGAGGTAATGCGGAACGTCGGGCGGTAGCTGGTTTGGTAGTGCGTCAACAGGGACATCTGAGCCGTCATCGCTACGGCACCAGTGTCGTGCGACAACCAGAGCAAGCTGAGAGAATTGGTGGCGATATCATAGACGTGAAGATCCTTGCTCTGGTTGCAGTGTTGATTGGGACTCTTCAGCAGAAGGGTGAAGGTGTGGTTGGGCTCCACCTCCACTCCACTGCTGACGCTGACACCCTGGAAGTATTTCTTATCCGGTTGTTCGATGCGAACACCACTGAGGTCCCGACCCTCCTCTTCTTGGCTCCCATTGAGCCTCATTCCCAACTGAAGGAAGTTCCTGCAGCTGTGCTTTATCGCAAAGTTATGATCCAACCAGACCAGGCCATGCTGCAGGAACGTGACCTGGCCCACCTCATTGGACAACAGATCTATTTTCTCTTTGCTTCTGATGTTTAGTTGAAGCCCTGGGAAGATGTTTGTGCCAGGGTTTCGAGCATGAGGAATTCCAACATTGGCCCCCCAAGACTGGGAGAGTTGGCTCTCTGAGGGCTGACCGCAGACAGAGTCAGTGACAGCGGTGCAGGTGACAGAAACAGGTTCTCCATCACAGTCGGAGCAGGCCTGGCACTCCTGCAGCTCCTGGTTGTAGAAGTAGTCATGACCACAAAAACCCATGACTGCTTCTCTCTCAGAAACTCCCAGACACCTGAACCCACCTGTGACGTTAAAGAGCAGAGAAAATGGAGAAATCAAGGTTGTTTAATGAAAATGAAAGGGGGAATAAGGTTTCACACTGCACATTCATGAATTGCTCTATTTAAAAAACGTATATATCAATGTGTTGAACTCACCTGGAGTATTAAGACACTTCACCCGCTCTCCACAAATGGTTGGTACTTCAAGGCATTCATCTCTGTCCTGCAATACACACACATTCATATTATAAGTATTGGCATTATGTTAACAAAACAAAGGAATACAAACAAAATGTATCAATGATTTTATTTGGATTTTATTCAGCATGGATGGTAATATTAACTTTTTTTCTCCATTTCAGCTGTTGTGTTTGAGACACGCTGGGATATGCTCTAAAACCTGACCCCATTTCACACTTCTACCATCAGATAAAGCTATTTCAAGTTTGTGTACAGAATAGAAACTTCCTCACCATCAACCAAACATTAGTGCATTTAAAATTAGCAACAGGGTTGTGAACATGATTTCTAATTGTTAAAAACATTTTTATGAGGACAATCTTAAAATACATAAGAAAAAAACAAACATGGAATAAATCAGGTATATATGTCAGCTCTGATAACGAAAAAATAGGAATCCAAACATAATGTATTGAGGGTCTTTTGCGTTCACATGAAGTTTTGGAGCTTTAACTGGCTCATGTCACTTCTTTAGTTACAAAAAAGAGATCCCTTTTATGTTAGTACATCCGTTAGCTAGCTAAAAATAGCAAAATACGTTTGTCTCCTGATGCGTCGTGACATGCATGAGGATATTCAAACGTAACTCGTCATTGCAATTTTGCATTATTCATTTGTGAATCCTTGAGCAAATTTAGATGAGAAATTAACTTTTTTGGTAAATTACTAAAATATTTATATTCAAAAAAAGGTCAGCTATTATGCAAAATCCACTTTGTCATGTCTTTTATACATAAATATGTATCTGTGCGTTAAGAGATTCTGAAAGTTTCAGGAAAAAATATTCTATCTCTTGTTGTCTATTGTCTTGATCCATTTATATAAAAACCTGCCTGAAAATGAGCTGATCAGATTTTGGCCACTTTATGATGTCATAATGATTTTGGGCTTGTGTAACCATTAGCCAATAACCAACCAAGGTAACCCCCCCATCTTATCATCTGAATCCTCCTAGCACCATTATGTTTTTTTAACCAAATATCTCTCTGAGGGGCGTGGGGAGTGGCTCCTTATTTTTCATCTAAAGTAACAGACACAGAATCAGCACTTTTGAAACAGGGCTGAAACAGAGGGGTTTATGGCATTCTAAAATGCATGATCTGTTTGGTATTTCAGACAAATACTTCAGAGACATGTTTTGTATATATCTGAGACCTATAATATATTGATGACAAACACTATAATAGGGGACCTTTAATATACTATTGTGCAGTACCTCTGATTGCCACTAGTAGGAACTCTAAAGCAAACCAGATGTTGAGAATAGCTGTTTGAAAGGAGCATACCTGGCACATCCTGTCTGCAGTTGGAGAACACTGTGAGATCAGGAAGAAGCCCGGCGGACACATGGTGCACTTCTCACACTTAGGTGGATCCTTCTGAAAATCACAGAACTCCTCCTGCCCACAGGAAGTATGGCATCCCAGCAGAGGTTGAGGAAAATGAGCCTCTTCGACTACATCCATCGTCTTGGAGTCCAGATCCATTTTGTGCACGGCGTAGGATTTCTGCAGGTGGCTGCGAGCCTGGCTCTGCAGACCCGCCAGGTGGCTTTCGAAGTAGCTCTGCAGCTCACCCTGCAGACCCTGGAAGGAAACCTGTTTGACGGTCTCTGAGAGGAGGCCATACTGGTTCTTCACCACATCCATCTGCTCATACATGCGCCGCTGCTGGTCCAGGATCTCCCTCTGCTGGGACAGAAGCGCCTCCTGTTGGTCGGCGAGTTTCTGCTGCAGGTCGCGGATGATTATTTGCTGGGTTCGCAGGGCCTCCACCAGCTTCTCCTGCCCTTTGGCCAGCTGGAGGTGCAAGATGAGGGCGTCTTCTGAGGGAACTTCATTCTCTCCTGAGGGGAAGATAATTCAAAATGAAAGAAGGTTTTATTGTTAAAAACTGTGCAGTGGAGGAAGTGATTGGATCAAGAGTGATTCTGATTTGACGCTGGAACAAAGTGTGAACACTCAGTGAACCCCATTGTATTGGGTAGCTGGCAAGTGCAATGAAAGTTTCCTATATGGACCAACATCAAAGCTCCATATCTTCTGGACAACTGACTCAGAGACATTTCCAGTCCTGCTCAGCTCTTTCTTTTGCTGGTATTGTGGGTTATCTGTTTGGTTTTTTTCAGACTCTCTACGCACTTTTTTTGTTTTTTTCAGAGGAGGGTTAGGGGTTAGGTTAGGGTTAGGGTTAAATTAAAAAGTGGCGACAGATAACCCACAAGTACGCTTTTGCTTATGGACCATGGTGCCCTTGTGCAGATCACTGGAGAAACAGGGTAGTTAAAGTCAATCAAATATAATAAGCATTTGGTAATTATTATGTTCTTGCTTTCTCTGCAAGAAAAGACCAGATGAAGGACATTTTAAAGAAATGAAATCATCCTGTAATCATCGCAACAGTTAACATTTTTCGTTGACAGAGAAGAAGATGAAAGCAGACCTGGCTTGATGTCACATGTGAGCTGGACACCCAAAGGAGCTCCGCCAAGTTCCGAAGATGGATATCCAAGCTCCGGAAAATCCCCCATAAACTGTGCGGCTCTGTCGGACAGATGGATAGGAGGGAGCTGGCTCTCATCTGAACTACAGCCCTCTCCCACACATGACTTCGCTCGGGCTTTTGGCCGTATCCTAAGCGGCAGTCTGCACTCGATCCCTTTACATTCTCGGGTGTCATTGGTGGTGGGCTGAAATTGTTTCACAAGAGCGGCGCAGTCCGCATCCGTGCATCCTGCAGGTAAAACTTCAGGCGCTCTTATCCGCGTGCCACTGCTGCTGTCAGTGTGCCGCACGCGAAGTGGCTGCACAGGCGGATACCCCTCTGAGACTGCTCTTGGAGAGCCCGGGTACGCATGGTGTTGGCCGGCCACTATCTGCGCCGCTCTCGGGTGATGGTGCCGCGGCGGTCTGGAGGTTCTGCCCCCCGGACAGTGCGCTCCGACGCACGGTCTTGGATCGCTGGTTTCCGCGCCGTAGCAGTGCGTCCCCCGGCAGACCTCTGCGACAGTTTGCGTCGATATCCAAGAGAGCAGCAGCAACAACACAGGTGTTACTAAAACCATTGTTGCTTCTGCGTTAGTTGTCTCTCTGCAAAAGAAGAAACATCCACATTAAGCTTTTGATTCCCGGGTGGTGGAGAAATCTCAAAAATGGTCCTGTGATCCATCTCTGAGCTTCTTTCTGATGAAACCCCTCTCACTATAGAAACAAAGTATAAGTATTATTGACCAATCATTACCTTCAGATCCAGAGTTCGGTGAGACTGGCTTGAACGTCTGTCAGTAAAAAATAAAACATTAGACACACGCAGCCCTACCGCCTGCTCTCTCCATGTCTGACCCACTGTGAGAGATTCTGCACTACAATGTCAGTATGTGGCATTCCTAAGACTTAATTAGCATCAGGTTTCCCCCGGCCACAATTTAACCCTTCACCTTCCCTGCTTTCCATGCAGGAACCCCTCATTGATGTGGAGGAAAAGTGAAACATTTCCTAAAAAGAAATATTGGCTCCCACGATCATGAGATGATGTCCATGCATAGCTAAATGTTTTCCTGTCCTGTCATCTTCTCCTGCAAACTGTCACTTTTCATTTTGCTCACTGCTGACTTCCCTGTGACCTCACGACCATCCAAGTTGCAGAAAGTGGCAGTGTTATTTTCTTTTTAGCACTTTCTGAATGTTGAGACAGCTGCTGCTCCTCCACCCAGTGTCTTCAAGTTATACTGGGCTTGTCAACACTGAGTGCCCCACTTTATAGACGGAGCCAACAGAGGTCAAAGTTTTGTTGAGGTGACCTATAGGCTGAAGTCAGGAATGTGAAACCCACAGCTGCTTTTTGGACCCTCTCATTTGAGTTCATCTGCACAACCACATGTTATGGGAGGTTATCTGAGGATGATGTGTGGTGGGATGTTTGGAGTTCGTCAGGTTCTGTTGTCACTTTCTCTTTCATTAGTTGAAGGTCAGACACCTATGGGAGCTCATTTCTGCAAAGGGTAAAAAAGGCATTATGACAACAAAACAACTTTGAACATTGATTATCACATTGTTAAGTACCTCATCATTCAGATACAATAATTCAAAGTGTTGACTTATAATGTTATTATAACTTGCCTTAGATTTTTTTTTTTTTAAATCAATCAAATTGTTAATCTATTTTCCCACTCATTCTATTATACTATTGCCATATTCTGAAAATGTTTACCTAAACAAGTTGACTCATTCTCAAACCATTCTTACTTCTGGAAACTTTACGTGTTTGATTCTCTCATAATTAGTTAACATCACACCATTTTGACTTGGTATACCATTATGTTGATCGAGTACAAACCTCAGTATCCTTGCTTGTTGGATTCTGTTGGCATAAATCCAGCCAAGCAGCACTTTAGGGGCTGAGCGGAAAACTAAATTAGAATGAAAAAATGTGGTTGTTTCCTGCATTAACATGCAGAGTGGATCAGCACTCCACAAAGAAAATAAGTGGTGCAGCTTGGTATCACGAACATGATCTACACCACCCACCAAATGTAGAGTACAGCAGAGTACACACAGAGGGCACTACAACACTCCTAATGCATCATTTTTCCCATCATCATTGTGACAGTTTGTCCTCTGCAGTGCTATATTTGACAAATGCTTTATCGTTTTGAAAGGTGCCCACTGGTTTTGTCATTAGCACCCCTTTTTCTTTTAGTGCAGAAAAGTCCAAGAAAGGTTTTTAGAGGGTGTCATAGCACTCTGATGTAATATGATGGAGACTAATAGCTTAAAACAATGTCCTTCCTACACCTCACACCTTTCCATCTGGGGTTCTGTAAAACACAAATACTGCTCTTTTTCAACTCTTTGTTTTGCAGCCTTAAAATATTTGTCCATGGTTTATTTGAAATTAACTTAATTTGTCTACAAAAATCTATGTCTTGAAGCTGTCTTATTTATCAAGACCATCTAATTCCCCATGCTGGACAAAAACATTATCCGTATCCGCTATATTGGACCACAATCAGTCACTGAAATGTAACTGAAAAGGTACAACAAAGCAGAAAAATCATAATTCTCTTTGCTGCAGAGCTCTCCAACCAGTAATCAACCTATGAAAAATGTTCTCTGAGGCACGCCATGCTTGTGTTTGGGACATGCTTGGAGCTAATGGAAGGGTGCATATGTCCATCTGTTTGTCAACCCCTGAGAGAGGAGAGAGGAAATGAGGGTGGTTTCTCATGACTGTACCCCAAGTGTTTGTTTAATACGTCATGAACCATAAAAGCCTTTTTGAAAAAGCTGAAGGTTATTTGGTTTCCCCCTGATGTGCGCAGCTTCACTGTATAATGACTCAAGTTTAAAATAAGGTTAGCGATGGGGCAAAGTTGTTCTTTTAAGTATAAGTATGCTTGATGATCTTAATTTTTCCTTACGTTTAACCTTTTACATTTTTTGGCCCCCCTTGTAAGCTGACAAGGAATTTAAATAAACAAGAAGTGAAATCTTGGCCTCACAGGTTGACTCAAGGAGAAATGCAAATAAATAGATATATCTGTGTCTGCCAGGTCAGATAAGAGCCAGAGGCTATTCTGAGCCTGACAGCTTCTCTCTCCTTGGTTCCCCCTGAAGATAACTGACCTTGTTGCACCACACCAGTGTCTTAGGATATTTCTTCCTGATTTTAAGAAGAAATAACCTCTTGAGCAACTTTTGTATGCCTGAGTGTTCAAAACGTGTACAGCGACTAATTCTATATGTAGGATCTATGCATCAGTAATAGTTTTTTTGAAATACCTTTGGTCATGCCAGGCTTTTCCATCGAACTATGAATTTCTCCAATATTGCTGATAACCATTTTTTGCATGATATCCCTATGCATCAGTAATAGTTTGCCTGAGTCATCTCTGAGCCAGTCTCAAATTCATAGTTTTTTTGTATATCTTATTCCTGTTTCTAAGTTTAATTAAAAGGTTATATTGATATTAAAAGGTTATATTGATATTCTAAAATGATTGTGAAGACAACCGATTGACACTTTTATTTTGGTTTTCCATTTTTAGTCATGTTAAGTCTCTCTTGGTTCCCCCCTGAAGATAACTGACCTTGTTGCACCACAACAGTGTCTTAGGATATTCCTTCCTGATTTTAAGAAGAAATAACCTCTTGAGTGTAAGTTAAAGCAACTTCTGTATGCCTGATTGTATTTAAAACGTGTACAGCAAATCATTCTATATGTAGGATCAATCTTGAAGCAACATTGTGTTTTTCTGAAGAATTCTGATCACTGGAGCTCAGTTTGATCTGGTGTTTGCACTACCACTCCTGTCTAAAGACCGGCAGTAAATCAGTTTCAGTCAGGTGAATTATTAACCAAGACCGTCAAATTCCCCGTGCTGAATCAGCCGTTCACTCACTCTCACGAGACCTCTCTTTCCTTTTTAACCTCCAGATACTTCATCATCTCCTCAAGTGGTCAGCGCCATTAGTCACATCAAACTCCTCTTCAGATTTCCCCTGATCTGTACGCGTTTGAAACATTTGCAATACCATGCAGATAAGGAGACTGTGGAGAGGGACGGCTCAGCGCTGCCAAGACAAGACTTGTGAAAGTGTTGGGCTTTCAGAAGGAATGTAGTGACAGGTCTAGACCTGAACTTCCGCATTAAGCAGGAAGAAGTCAAGAGTCAAGACCCAGATGCAATCCACATCAACACACCCAACGCCGCCTGTATACAACTGTTTTGTTGGTGTTCTGCTTTATAAGGGAGTAGTAATTTGAGGTGGAACTGACGCCCATGAAGCTGTTATCTTGAAACTAACTGGTGAAACTTGGATTAATACATTTGGAAAGGTGAGTTTACATCTCTGCTAAGTTGGATGTTTCAGTTAACGGTGAACACCCATAGCTGCTTTTGTTCTGAGCATTCATATCTTTGAGCGTTCTGTGTATTAATCATTGTTTTTTTTTTTATTGACTGGCTGTCACATCAAACACTTTTTTCTCCTCTAGCTAGAAAAATAAAGATATCGCTAATCATACACACTGAGAATCTTAGACATCCTGTCATATCCTAGATACAGGCTTTTAAAAGTTGTCAGAGTATGTAATAATAGCACAACAATGAAACAATACGGCTATTGTCACCCAAGACGGATTTGTTATTTTGAGATAAGGTTTTATTAGGTTGCTGTATAGAGATAAGTCAGTCATTAGGATGTTTTAATATAATCAAAAAGGGAGTAAGTTCATACGTGCTCTTGTCTGCTTTCGAAATGGGTGGACCGGGCTCTAATTTCACACTGCTGTATGACTCAATAACCACATGAAACTGATAGGGTTGGCCTCCTATTTTAAAGCTATGTGCTGTCAGTGAACATAGGAACATGTTGTGCATTCGCCTTTTTGAGATGTGATTAAATAAAATAAAACTGGACCCAATTACTTATAAACAGTCTTTCATTGCAAAAGTCTGTTTGCAATACATGAGTAAAAAACCTTTAGGTTGACAGTTTTTGACCTGCTGTCAAGTCAGAGGAGGCTAAAATATATGTTTAGACAGACTGTCAAATGACTCATGTGCAGAGGGGATTTTATGTAAAGGAAAAAAGTTGAAGGATTATGTAAATCAAACCCTTCTGGAAATTACTGTACGCGTTTGATTTCTACAAAAGCACATATACCCCCTTCAGCAAACATAGATATGATCTTGTGGATTGCTAAATGTCAGATGCGATTTGTGCTTTTTATGCCTTTCAGCTCTTTGTTTTTGCTGCTGACCCCCTTATTTGCCTACTTTACAGTAGAGTACATCTAGTTCAGCAAACACATCTGCCCAAGACCCAAGCAAAGATATTTGAGCTGAGTAAGAGAGGGAGTTTCTTTACAGTATGGTAAACATGCTCGGCTTTAATATGAGTTTTGTCTGGCTTCCATTTTCTTGTTTGAAGCTTGAGTTACACATGTGTGGATTTAAAAAAGGGCCGAAACATAATTGAGATTATTAAGAGGGGAGTTGTTTTCTGTAAGAATATAGTTTTCCCTATGCTATATTTTATAATTTCTATTCCTTTTGATAACAGAAGTACAGTGGTATGTTTTCACAAATGCATTGTGCCAGTTTGAAAGGTTGCCAAATGTCATGCCCCAAACATTTCCAATCATATTTATAAATGCTTGACAATTCACATATTTCAGAGCAGCCTCTGGAAAGTAAACATAAATTATACAAAGAGGCAGCTACATACTTTTATGATTGCTTTCCTTCAGGCTGCATATTATTCCAAAGTTATGTGAATATGAAAACTTTGTTTTACAGTAAGAGTAGTGATTGACAGGAACATCAATTATTCCATTATTCCCTCCATTTGACCTTACCCAGGGCAATCTACACTTTCATCAGATTAAAATGCAAAATGTAGCTCTCTTTTGAGCAATTTATGCATCAGTAATAGTTTTTTGAAATACCCTTAGTCATGCCAGGCTTTTCAATCTAACTATAAAGTTCTCCAATATTGCTGATAAAAATATTTTTGCATGATTTCCCAACAGAAACACATCATCTCTGAGCTCAAATTCATAGTTGTTTTTTTTATCCTATTCCTGTCCTGTTATAAGTTTAATAAAAAGGTTATGCTGATATTCTAAAATGATTGCGTTGACAACAGATTAACACCTTTATTGTTGTTTCCCTGTTTGTGTTTGCATTGTCTCACTTACAGAAGAAAAAAAGCGTAATACTTCCTTAATTTGAATGTTGAAGGGTGGGTCCACGGAAGAAGTGATTATTAAAACTCCCATAACCTTTTCACAAAGAAAATATAGAAGTGCTTCATTTCCTGCATTTGGCCTAAAAACAAATCTGTCAGGAGTGACCCAACTGACTCTTTCTTTCTACCTTTTGTTACTTTAGAAAATACCCAATGAAAATGGCAACAGACGCACACTGTGTTTACATGTTCTGTGTGTTGACAAAAGCCATATGTGGTCGTTGTAGTAAGATCTGTTGTTTTGTGGTTGTCATAACATTATATAACATGTGAAACCACAGGAAAGAAAGGCTAATAAAAACAATTAAAGAGCAGTCATAAAAGAGTGCGTCACTATGTTTTTGTTTAGCCATTATGAAAAGTATCTCATGCATTGGCCCAGGCAATGTGTATGTTTCAGACCCTTTAAAATGTGAAATGAAGTGTGTGAGGGAACATTATTATTAAGGCCGCAGGTGGCTGTTCATGCAGGGCCGTCCCTCCCAACAGAAAGATCACGCAGACTGCGTGGGGCCTCACCTCGCGGAGGGGGCCTCATCTTGCGGAGGGAGCCTCAACTGAGCCGCAAATGCGACGCACCTATGCATTTATGCGGCGCAATTAGTGTGGCGCGGCACGGTGTCGCCGCTGTGAGGCTCCACCAACCGCCCCCCCCCATTCCCCCTCTAACTTTGCGTGGGGACTCAAATTGGCCAGGGACTGTGTTCATGTCACCATTTCCTACACAATTTCAACATTGCATGTGGCAGGAAATTCGCCCTTCACCACTTCCCTCAAGGGGCGTACCATTTTGAAAAAACAGGGGTGGAGCTGGCCCACAACTAACAACATTTAAGAAGACACACATACAATATTCACATAGAATTGAGTGCCTGACACTCAAATAAGTAAAATACCTTGTGTTAAAATATCACAAACCAACCCAGAGATATTTCGCAAGTCTTTATCTAATATTTTCACAAACCCATTTATGGTAGTAGGTAGGGATTAAGTTGACTTAGCTTCAAACTATATTTGCACGCTCCATCTGTTAGATATTGGAACAATATTGATTCATCTAACATTCAAATGAGAGACATCAGGTCACTGTATGAACTATTTCCTGGAACACAATCAGTCACTCCTGTCTCCTCTGCAACATTTCATTTTTTTTGGTGTTTTTTTTGTTTGGCTCTAAATGTTAACAGATTCCAAACTGTAGTAAGTGAATGCAGCGAGTCACATTTTGTTAGAGACACTATAAAGCAGACTGGAAATGTTGTATAATTCTTTATCTGGGATGGATGAAATCTTATCGGTTAACTTAAAGTTTAACCAACAAGATTAGTAAGTGCTTTGAGCTAAATGCTAACATCTGTGTGCTAACATTTTTAAGCATTAGCAGGTAGTGTTAACTTAGTTTAACGTGTTTGCCAACAATTAGCTTTGTGACAAAGGGTGTGTTATGGTTATAACAGTTATTTTTGCAGGTATTACTTCATAAGATGGTTCTTTCGGTATTTAAAAATATGACGTGATGATTTCGCTTGAAGAAAAATCAGAGAACCACAATCATTAGGATACCAAGTCTTGATAGTAGCATTACATGTTTATACTAAATGCTGTGCTAATACATCCAGGAGATGTTGAGACACTGAAACATGACTTAATGAATGCACAAGAAAAAAATGATTGGCAAAATATAGGCTTATGGTAATCCATATATGGTTTCTGTTTCTATCCATAGAAGTACAAAATTATAGCGTGACTAAAATGGAGGCTATCGATCTTCTTAAACAGCAACCAAACACCTGGCAGAAAGTGGACCTTTAATGTTCACCAGACTGCTTCAGCAGTTACAGCAGCCCTTCTCTGTGTTAATATGGCCTTCCAGTAAAATAGTTCCCTTTCATGCTCAGTCATTTTAGGGCATACTGAACCATCAACATCACATTACATTTCTGGAATTAGTGAAACAAAAAACCCCATCAAAGCGCCACTGTGGCTGAATGAACTCCCATTGACACCTTTGCGCCACTGGTCATGTTCCACTGTAAGAAAACAGGTTCTCTGTTTAACAGCACATTCTTGCCCATCATAACATTTGCTCTGAGGAAAATGGGGAATAAAAAAAAATACATGTGTGAGAGACAGCATACTGTACATAATTACAGCTGAAAATCAGATGTGTCTTCAGGATTTGTTTCAGGAAAAACACAGTCACATAATACATAATGTAACATAACAATAATAATAATAATAATAATGTAACATAACATATAATATATTTAACTCTGTATTTAAGCAGTCATATGTATGAGCCTTTGTATTTAAACAGCAATTTATAACAAGCATGAATATTTTATAAATCTCAATAGTTTTAAAATCCTGTTTACTGTACACTTTAGGGTGTTCCAGGGATTTTTGTAATCATAAAATATCCTGATTATTGTTTTTCAGCCAGCAGTATTTGATACAAATTGCTATTTGTATTCATGATGAAGGAAACTGTGTGTCAGTTTTTTTAATTGAAAGAATGTACAGTAATATTAATTATCTGTGGCTGGAACTTAGAAAGTAGAGGTCTGGCAAAAAAAGTACAACTGACTTCTAAATCTGAAAAATGAAATAATATTGCACTCCCAAGTTCAACAAGACACAACAAGTTCTGGCAAAAACCGAGTGCCTGGTAGTTACGAGTACATACCTTTCTTGCTTCAGTCTGGGTGGAGATGATAACATAGCCTCAGGTCACGTATTACATCTATTCTGCACACATTTTAAAGGATGCGGTACTGTGTCTCACCACTGGCTGTGAAACATGTTTGTGTACAGTATCTAACAGTTGTGTCACCATGAAGATGGATTAACCCACCATTCCAGACATTCCATTAATGTCATTCATCATGAGAACCGTATCCAATCAATGGAAATTATTTGCTTCCTTGTACCACCAATCAATACAGCTGATTGAGAAACATGCTGTTCCAACAGTTCACTTTGGGGTTATCAGATTGTTATCATGGTAAAATAGTTTACGGTCTGATGTTGGTGTTTTTTCAAATTTGTCTGACTCTACTGTGTTTTCGTTGCTTCAAACAGATGGATGACATTGACGCCATGTTCAGTGACATGCTGGGGGAGATGGACCTCCTCACTCAGGTGAGATAAGACAGTTGTCAAAGCATCGTTTTTTGTTTTATTGAATATTTATTTGTTACCTATTTTATTATTTATTACTCATGACTCGTGATTACCTTCTACAACTTACTGTTATGTTATTATTATTGAAATTATTGCTGTTTAGACAGTAATAAATACAGTCTTATAATTACAATAGAAAAGCTTTATCTCCAAAGATTTGTTCAATGTCAATATAAATCATTATAATCCCTTTTTTTCTTTTGAAGGAAATATCTCATGCAACACATACTGAACACAACATCACATTCTCTGAACTGCCCATCGTTAATACTTTGACCTTATACCTCAAATAGCCTTTTTTTTGTTAGAGATAGACGACAAACTCACTTAAACCCACCATCGATCACTGAGACACTCTAGACTGGCGAGCACAGACACAACAGGGGGTAACACTCTTTGCAGTCATCTAACAGCCATAACTTACACACTCTTTTGGGGGAGGCCAAATGGCAACAGCCAGTAAGAGATTACACATTTTTTTGTGAAAATCCCTGCTGAGCACTTTGATGTTGTTTTCCCACCGACCAGTCATTTTAAATCACTTCTATTTTTACCAGGGGGGTTTAATACAACACATAGAAGTCCTGTTATGTGTACTACTTAAAAACAGATGTAACATTAGACAACACTACACTTTCTTACATGATGTTTGGTGACAGTTCATGTTATAGAATGTGTTGTGGATTAACTCACTGGGCCTCTGGGGGTCTTATGTCTGTACAGATAATATATTCATTCTCTTATAAATACACTGCCTTGTTTATTCTTCCCTTCAGAGTCTCGGTCAGGAAACTGTACCTTCTGGGTCCCTCAGCAGCGCAAACAAGGAAACCAACTACTCCATGAGCTACACTGACCTGAATGGTGACTTAACATGTTGTCTGTCATGTGTGTCGAAATACTACAAAGAGCTGTGTGTTCAGCTTTTCCACGATGACATACACAGACAGGATATACTTTGAATGTTTCAGTCAGCTAAAAAAATATTGAGATTGCTACAAGTGACATAAAGAGGTAGTATATTTGGCTACTGTTTAAAAGGTGATTTTAGACGAAGATTTAGATTGCTGTAGGTGCTAATTATTCGGTGTTGTCCTTAGCATTCTTCTTGTTTCTGGAAACAAGAAGAATGTGTTTTTGTGTGTATCAGTCTTTCACCACCAACTACTTTACTTTACAAGGATTATAAACCTTCATATATCAAACTAAAAAACAATCAATCAAAGAATAAATGTTTTTTGATTGAGACTAAAACTTTATAACCATGCTAGTAGCTCTCAGTTGTGCTTTAAGCTAAATGCTATCATCAAAATGCTAATATTATCACAATGACAAGATCAACATGCTAATGTTTTAGCATGCTATGCTAAAAAGCAGCACTGAACACAAATGAGGCTAAGGCGGATGGTAAAGCCATTAGTTTAGCAGGTTTTTTGTCTTGCCCAAATATTTAAACTGAGATGTTAACCTGATGGTGGTTAAGGTATCATAAAAGTCATTTTGAATTGATCAAATCAGGAGTTGAACACCAACGTCATTAGAATTGACTTCTAGCGACCACAAATGTATGTTACATATCTCAATTTATTCTTAATCTTTACATTTGCATAGACTAACATTACCATTTGAAAGGTGTACTGTAGAACATTACATTTTAATATGACACAGAGAAAAGAAGAACTTGTAAAAAAATGAAAGCTCTTACTTTTTAAAGAAAACACTCAAGTCATTTCTAAAAAGGAACTATAGGGCTACCAAGTTGACTCACTGGTCAAATACTTTGAAAGAGAGGTAACACAAATGAATTAGGAATAATGAATTAAAGGTGGGCTAGGTACATTTGGAGAAACCAGCTCGAGTGCACTAGAAAAAAAAAATCTGCCACTTCCTTACAGAGCCCCTCCTCCAACACACATGAACGCGCACATGACCAATGAGGGCACGAGATAAGTTTGTTCACAGATGGAAGGCTGACAGGCAGGTAGGCCATCTAGTTATTTTAGCCGGGCCGTCTAAAATGATTGGTCGTGCTTTTTACAGTACTACGGCTTCCAAGATTTTTTGTCAAAGCACTTAAGAATCTGATATTCATTGCTATCGTGATGTTGAGAGCATTCCATGGAATATAACAAAAAGTGTATCCCGAGCCGGTTTTCTCAAACGTACCTACCCCACCTTTAAGATAACATAAGACAAGATGGACCTTTATTAACCCCTGTGGGGAAATTCAGTAGAATTACTGTATATACTGAAATGGGATACTGTTCCTAGGTCAGTTCCTAAAAAATAATCAGACTTTCTTCTAACATCAGACTCCCTCTATGAATTGGAAGACACCGATTTGGATGCACTCATGGCGGATTTGGTTGCGGACCTGGATGCTACGGAACAGAAACTTGCAGCAGACATGCAAGGTCGGAAACAGCAATCACCGCCCCCGCCTGACCTGCCACCCCCGCCTCAGGGCCTGAGCCCCCGCCCCACCTCCTCACCCGTTTCCCCAGCATCACCAGCGATCAGCACCAGCAGCAATGTTAGCACCCCCACCTCCCCTTTACCACCTCCGCCTCCTCAGACTGCAAAGCCTACAAGGGTGAGTCAGCTAGAGTTTGTAAAATGAGAGTAGCATCTCTACAATTACCTTTTGACCTCTGTACTACTTGGAACTGATCATTTAAGAGGTGAGTGATTTAACCAAGAGAGTTTGGTTGATACAGTTTGAAAACAAATGCTGGCTGTCACATCTTGCTAGCTGGAGATATTGAAAAAGAAAAAGAAACATTCTTCACATTATTAAGCTCTTAAAATATAATAGCAAGAGCAATAATGCTATAATCTCTGTTATAATTGGAGGTGTGTCTTGATTTACCGATTCACTTCCTGAGCCGTGCGTGACTAGACACTGTTACAACAAAAACACCTTGCACCAGTTCCCAGCATATTCCTTTCTAGCGATTTATGTTTGCCTTTGTCGAACTGGGAAGAGTGGTATTGCTCTTATAACAGTTGAGACGGTGAGATCATGGCAAAGTTGTTCCTGGATGGAGGCATCTGTTACAGTCGCAGAGATGTGTGACGCGAAACAGCCGTGAGTCTGTCTGGAGCAGATCAAACACATGCAGCAGGAAAGGAACAGGATCAATATACGAAAAGTTGGGGAAGGGGAGTGGTAGTGTTGGTGGGGGGGTGAAGCCAGACTGGAGCTTATTGCTTTAGCAGGGCTTGTTACCTCATCCCTCTGAGGTAAAATCACCATCTGTGCTGAGGCAGAGAATGTGTCATTGTTAGGAAGTAGTGTGCAAGTTCATTTCAACTGCATTGTAGGCAGGAGTTATAAGCCAAAGGAAAGGGTATCCTATCCCTGCTAATGGAGATGTTGTAGATTAGATCTAATGTCTCAAATGCACATTTCACACATGAAGTTATGAACCTTAAATTAAACACTCCACCTCCTGTGCAGCAGTTGAAGTGCTACATCCGCAAAAATGATCTACCCAGATTAAAATATTTTCCTCTCACAGCATATCTCAACATTATGAAAATCACACTTTTTGGCTTATCTCACGAGAGTTAGATGAGAATGTTAATTCCACTTTCATTTATAAAGTTAAAGCCTTATCTTAAACTAGAGACAGGGGAAGGGCTAACCTGGCTTTGTCTCAGGGTATTAAAATGTGCCTACAATCACCTCCAACTCACAACTAAATGTGTTTTTGGCTTGTTGGTTTAATCTTAACTTGAAAAAGTGTCTTTAGAAGGTCAATTGTAATGTGCCTGTCTGGCACTGTAAACAAAAGTGGAAAATAATATGTGCATCTGATCCGTTTTTAGGATCTGGCAGAGTTTATTTCCTTTGAAATGAGTCAGCCTTTCTGTTTTCCCCCCAGACAATTTTATGCTATGCTAAATTAACAGACTGCTTGCTGTAAGTTCATATTTTTTTGTAAATATATGAGAGTGGTTTCAATCTTCTAATCAACACACAAGGCATATTTGCTATTGTGTGCAGTTTCCGACATCAAAGATGATTTCTCTGTGTTGTTTGCCAAAGTATGGTAGTGTAGATTTAACACAATGATGCTAATATATAGTGTGTAACCCCTCATACTAGATAATAACTCATAGTGGTTTAACATGCACTATAACGTAATGTATTTTTGTCCTATTTAGGAGGAAATCGAGGCGCAGATGAAAGCAGACAAAATCAAGCTGGCTCTTGAGAAGCTCAAGGAAGCTAAAGTAAAAAAGGTAAGAAAGCTAAACCCTGTACTGTACTCCTCTGATCTTACATCCACTGGCAACATAAAATGTGAATGAATTACGGCTACATGGACATCACTGTAAAAGACAAAATGATCAAAGATAGTTTGGTTCTTTCCTTTCCTTTGGAAGGGCAATCAATCATAGTGATGGATGGCTTCTTTCATGTAGCTAACTTCCTGTAGGACAGCACTGTTTCCCTTCTTTGGGTGATATGTGGACACTCAGCTTCAAAGCAGTCAACAAAAAAACAGACATGTAGTGTTGCATGCAAAGATTCATATCAAGATGTGCAAATAGGCTAACACTTTCATCATATGTGTTATGATTGATGATATGACTGCCTCGTGGTTTGGAGAAGTCTTACAATTCATATCGTTGTGACTGCATTTATGGCCTGTTTCTTTTTAGTAATTACAAATGCTTTGAAAAAAGTGAAGGAAACTAGCAAAAAAAAAATCTAAAAGAAACCAGTAAAAACGGCTTTTCCACTTTGCCATATGTGTGTGGATGCTGAGGAAACAGAGCAGTGGGCAGTTTCACAGGCACATCTGTTCCAATGGTGTTAGAAGCAAGGTGCGCCTCAGTGGTTTCAGAACAACCGTCTGTGGGTAGAGGCCTTTAAGTTTCAGATAAAAAAACTGATTCCGGAACAAGCTTTCGACACGGATCATGTATTATTAAGATAACTGGCTTGCATGAGGAAGTACTGTGAGAGGGAAAATAATCAGATATCCAGTGACATTTAATTCCACTACATGCTGAATCCATATTGTATTGCAGGGAGGGTCGGGTCATGTGATCTAACACTCTAAATACTATGGTGATAACATCTGTGAAACCCACATTTCTTATGACACACGCCAAGCGACTGGCTGACCTTGGTTCTGTTAAACTTCTCAGCTTCCAAAATGTGGATTTGTTTCAGATGAGAGGAAGTGCAAAGCCATATGAGCCTGTGAGGAAAGCATTGCTCTGCTCCAGAGAGAAATTAAATTCAGCCCACTGCGAAAAGGGACAAATAAAATGTGGAGGAAATTACTTAAAAAGCCAAATATGTTCAACAGAACAGAGAGATAGAAATGCTGCTGCTCTAACCCTCTTAACAGTAACAGCCATTTACTACATAGCCTGTAATTAAACTGGATAATAAACAAACTTCATGTACTTCAAGGCTTCATTTGATATCACACTTTAGACACCTGCTGCTGTCCACAAGACATTTTAACTTCAATCTGTCTAGTAGGGGATATCGTCATGTAAAAACCAAAAACTCACAAATCCAGCTATTTTCCTGCAACTCTCCTTAACTGATTCTATTTCAACTACAACTACAATTAAATAAAACATCTATTAAAAGCAATAAAAACATTGCTAGTTGTGCTTAGCTGGAATATTAAGTTGTTTGGTGTACTTTATCGACTTTTTCCTGAAATAATGAAAAGAACCCTAGTGCATGCACTCAAAATGGTCTTGGCTTCCTCTTAAAGACAAATTATAAGTTTTCACTTCCTATTTGACCGTTTGAAACAGTTGCCAACACGTTACATTGATTAAGACATTTCAAATATCCAATACAGTTATTTGAATGTGACTTATTCATAAATTAATGTTATTGTCTTTTAATTAACAATGTAAATGTAATAATTTACTTATGTTGTCCTCTAAGCAAGGAAAAATTAGAATTCAAATCACAAAAAGAGCCGTTATTTCACAATGTCTTCTGTCGATCAAAGTCATGCATCTATCACAAAGAGACATGAATATATCCCACTGTACTGTACCTACTGTTTTCACTTCTTTTTCCTCCTTCCTTTTTATTTATCTACACAGGGTTGACCTGTCAATATTTCTGTCTTTTGCCACTGCCCTGATGGATTTTCCTCCCTTGCCATCAATGGTGGCTCTCTCCATCTCCTTAGTCTTTCTCTTGTACTCTCTTGGCATGATAGCTTTTTTACAAGCTAAAAACAGTTGTGTTAAACTACATGGAAATATTATACTACAGAGACTTAACTTCAGTGCCTCGTGCCTCAGTGTTAGGTTGAACCACTGGCTCACTTTGCCCCATAGCCACCTTTTGGAAAAAACACTGTCCAGCAGCTTAGTGCTTCATGCTTGTCTTTAGCTAAATAATTCACATGGTTTTACACATAGCTAAATAACCAACATGTATGATAAATATTTTCAGACCTGGATACATTTGCAGTAATTTTACCTGAGATGTTGAACATTTACTTTGACAAGTAAAACATGGTTTATTATGAAAAAAACATATTTACCACTTTACCATGTGCTTCTATCCAGCACAGCCAAATAGTAATTATGGGTGCTTGCTATGGTGCTTGCTGAATTTCGGGTCACATGACAACAAATACTGTATGCATAATTGCCTAAATGGTTCAACTTACCCACTTGCTCAACTTACCCCACTCTGCCCTAAAAAAAATGAACAGATATTACTTAGGTTTGCAGAAATGTGATTGGTATTCTAACTATCAAGCCACTTTTTCTGACAGTTGGTGGTGAAGGTGCTGATTAATGACGGCAGCGCGAAGACTCTGATGGTGGATGAGAGGCAGAGCGTGAGGGAAGTTCTGGACAACCTGTTTGAGAAAACTCATTGTGACTGTAACGTGGACTGGAGCCTGTGTGAAACCAACCCTGAACTGCAACTTGGTGAGCTACTGCAATACCATCTAATAAAGTGTACCATGTGGTTGACGACTGCATTTCAATAAGCTATATCAATCTATGAATCAATACAAATCTGTGCAGCATCTTTCACTTAGGTTAGTGCGATGTTCTAAAAATGTTTCTTTATTTTGGCACTCATATCTAAAATAGCATCACTAGGGCTCTGTTTTATCTGAAGATACAGACCCATAAATCTGTGTGTCATCAGCATACAGATTTTGAAGTTTTCAAACATGTGAAATGAAACCCATACTTAGCTAAGGAGGGTTTACGACCAATGATAAATCCATCCACAATCACCATTGATTTGTTGCCACGAGTTGATACCATAGTGGTTCAATCTGTGGTCACTTTAAGAAATATTAGCTGTTTTAAACACTCTGGCAGGTAAAGTATTTTCAGGGGAGAAATTCAAATACTTTGGTGTATTTCCAGCAGCAGTTTTCACCAAAATGTTAGTAAAAAGAACCTCAATATAAACTTCAGATACACCTTTGTTGTGATCGCAGAAAAAAATGTACCAACAGAAACAGAAGGAACAGGAATAATAAGATACATAGACTTCAAGTACAGGCATGCACTCACACATGCGCACACAATATGCAGGGTGCGATATTTCATTCCAGTCCAGGTGATAAACTGTGTTTTTATTGGCACGATGGCAGCCATTTTGCAGTGAGCTCACAATGAAACATTGATCTAACTCCTATTCCATCTTTCTCTCACTCCTCCTCTCTATACACTTACTTCCCTTCACACACACACGCACGCACACACGCACGCAGGCACGCACGCACGCACGCACGCACACACACACACACGCACGCACGCACACACACACACACACAGTGTAGACAGGTGGGTTTGATTTGCTTTATCGGACACTGTCAGTCATCCTCATTCGGAAATTGAAGCCTTATGATCTCAATCCTCCATCTGCTGTATCTAATTGAGCTTCCGGACTTCACTCATTACCATCTGTTTTCTCTGTTTTATAACATCCTCATCAGATTGTTACGGAGATAATACATATATTTAAAGAACAAATCGAATGGGGAGTCATTTTACACCTTCCCGAAATAGTTTTGATGAGATACTGGTGATAAAGTCATTAACCTCTGTGAGTAGTGAAATGAATGTCAATATTATTTATCTTGATATTACTTTTTAAGTGATTCTATATGCAGCTTAAGCTGTGAAGAGATTTCATTAAAGGATTAGCCTGGATTTAATCTTTTTCTATCAAATTCTATCAGAACATTTCCCAGCATGCTTTTTTATATTTAAAAAAGGGGGATGAATATTAAAAAAAAAAATGCTGGGCACTAGAATAAAGCAAAAGTTACTTAGACAGGAGTAAAAAGGGTATTTTTGGGGACTATCTTCAGCAGTGCGTTTATACTTATTCAGCATGTTAGAAGGCTATTTACTGAGGCTATGTGTAACCTAACAACCTAGTGTCCATGTCAATTATCTTTGAAGGAGGCCTCCAATGCCATGGTGTGTCATGTGGGTAAGATAGTTGAAGAGGACAAATGATAGCAAATTGACATTTTGATGCAAATATCTTTACAGAAATCTGTTTGACTCGAAGCATATTGCGCAGAAATAGTTCTTCCAGACTATTTATGGATAGGTTCTTATACTTTAAATCACACAATTTATATTAGTTGGTTATAATAACCTTAAAATAAGTCTAATCACTACTGTTCATAAACCAGGAACTCACTCTTATACGTTCTGGTTTTCTTACAGCTTCGTCATGCAAAAACGTCTTATATTGTGCCAGTACACAGAAAATGAGGAAATGATTGTTTCCCTTTGGTTAACACAGTTTATTTTTAACTAAATGATGGCCCTTGACTCACACATTTATTTAAGGGAGACCTATCATGCTATATTTGAATAATATATTGTAGGGCCATACCTATAAAAGGTATATTTATACGTTTCTTTTTTCAAAATACCAAACAGATCATGCATTTTAGCCATGCCTCATTTCGCTCCATTTTGCTCTCCTCCACCCTGTCTTTGCATGCGCTGCAGCTGACTACGCCCCCCCTGCAAAGGAGGGGGCCGAGTTACGAGCCTCATGTTACCATGCTGTTACCATGCCACGGCAACTTCTCATTCCCCTGATTGGTGGAGAGTTGGCCATATAGGCGGAGCTCCTCGTCTCTGAAGTCACACTATTTTCAAATCTGTATCAGTCTGTATCAGATCTGTTGTAGCCCTGTTTTTAGAGATTTGGGTATGGAGGAAAATAGAGAGGGTTGTGTTTTCTGACACTTGGTGAGTTCCCTGACACACCGGGGACACATTCATGTATAAAAGATGTACAAAAGTGCATTTTGCATGATAGGTCCCCTTTAAAGAATGTCATCCATTCAAGTTATTTGACTCATGAGCACGGGTTCTTGTGTCATCTCTTACTAACAAGGCCGTATGACACTTTGACAATGGAAACTGTTAGAGTACGTTTATTTTTAGATTCCTGTAAAATCCTGAGTGTGTTGCGTTCTCAGTATTATTCTTTTTGTGCTAACCTTTCATCTTTACAGACATAATGCTAAGGCAGGTCAAGCCTAATTAACACCCAAAGAGCTCAACAGCAACACGTCAAACTAATCTTCACTGTTAAATCCACCCATATGCTCACCATGCATACTATTGAAACGCACCATGTGGTTAATGCAGTTCAAAGGGATTTTTTTCTCCAAATAAATCACTCTAGAAGGAAAGTCACACCATGCATTTAATGACTGTAATAGTCAAACTATAGAGTGGAACCCTGGCAGCAATTGATGTAATGCCTACCTCTGGTAACCTGTAATTGGGGAGCAGGGCTGAACTACAGTCAATGCCCAGTGCATTCTGCAGATCTATGGCACTCAGTGTGTGTGGGTGGGCAGACAGGAGGAGTGGGAGGGGGAGGGGGAAGTGCCCTTAATGTGTTTTCGGGGTTTAGTGCCATTTAAAGTGCTCCCAGCGTGATGGGGAGGTTTGCGTTTTATTGAGCCCTACCTTGATTCATCCCATTTGAAATAGACAATTGTACAGCTGTGAAACTGAGTATGAACCTGCAGATTTCAAGATTTCGTGACAGAGTGAACTACTGTACATATGGTAAAGCATTTGTTTTGAAGTGATTTACAGCACAACACTAAAAAGAGGGGACAGAGAGGATATTATTTGAGATTAAAGTCAAGGCCGATTCTGGTTTAAACAGTGATGTATTGTGTGAGATATGGACGTAGAAGACACATCTCCAGTCTCCAGAGAATTGGCATTAGTTTTTGTAAGTGCTGAAAAACATTTTTTGAATCGCTGTGTTTACTGCAGAGGCGAGCAGTAAGCAAGTATATTTATTAGAGTAAATGATGCATAGCAACCAACCAAAAATATAGTTGGATGAGCTTCAATGCAATGACACAGTCGCAAAAACGTATGTTAAACTCTCATAGAAAGGTACCATTTTACTTTCATCATCAAATCTGTTTATGTGGTCTGTGTACATATATATATATACTTCAGAAAAACTTGGAATGCAGTACTTTTCTGTGTACCAGAGTAGACAATGGACCTCTAACCTCATACACATAAAATACTCCTTCTCCTTCTTGGAGTACCAGTATTATATATGGCAAAACATTTCCGAAAACAAAGCCTACCTAGCAATTTGTATAGTAGTATATTTACATTGTGATACACTATTTTCTAAAATTTAAAAATGTCAGACCTTAGCACTCCCTAATGGCACTATAAAAGTAAATAAATAAGTGGACCCTAGATCAAACTAATGTTCACCACGATTGTTAGATTTTTCTACAAATCCAAACTCTTGCCAGAGGAATTCAAAATGTGCTGCCAGCAAAAAACAATGTTAGACAAACTGAATACTACCTATTCTAGTTAGCTGACATTTAACTTGTCTTTTTTCGTTGACAGAACGTACGTTTGAAGACCATGAGAACCTTGTGGAGCCACTCTTAGCATGGACAAGAGACAGCGAGAACAAAGTACTCTTTCAGGAGCGAGGGGAAAAATATGAGGTTTTCAAAAACCCACAGGTTGGTCTTCTTATTGTCTGCATCTTTATATAGCTCTCTAAAAATATGCTGCGTGAGTGTGACTAGAAGTGATGTGCGTGTAATATCTCTAAACTCCTACACTGGCTAGTTCCTTTTTCCTGGCCTTGGTTTGTGAAAATCTCAACATTGTTTCAGTTCAGCGGCATCTGGCTATTTTCACTGATGAATTGTTGCCTGAATTATGATAGGTCTTTCTTCCTTGCAGGATGACCCTTTACATGTATGCCCTCACTGTAATATATCAAACTAAACAGCATCAGGCAAATGACAGGGAGATCTTGGCATGTTTGTTAAAATAACAGGACCCTTTGTATTTAATGGAATCGGTCTGTTAGCTGAGACAAATAGTTGGTGGAAAATAGTGAGATATTCTCGTTTTTTAAGTACTCCATCATGTCTTCCACATCCTCTAACAAAAGGACACTGTTTTATACAGTAGGTCCCTATCAGTATACAATTTCAACTTTTTACCAGAACTACTAAAATAGAATTCCCTTTTGGGCTTTCACTCGCCACAATGAAAACGAGACTATGATATAAAATCAAATAAGCCCAGTCACACAGGGACAAAGTGTAGGGTTTTAGAAAACTAAAATAAATATTTAAGATGCCCGTAGCCAACATTTTTGTTCTGATATTTAATAGGAAAAATGTTCTTTGAAATAATTATAATGTTTAAAATAGTTTGTGAAACCCCAGTAGCTCATCTGGTAGAGCGGGTGTTAAGGCACAGCACTGCTTTAAACTAAGTGCTAATGTGAGCATGCTAACATGTTCAAACGACAACGCTAACCTCCTGATGATTGTTTAGCATGTATATTGTTAACATGTTAAGTTTGCAGTGTTTGAATGGTAACAGCTGCAGTAGGGTCTTTCAATAACCTACATGTCAATACCTCTAGTTGTTGAAGTATTTCACAAATGTAAACCTGCTGGTATGCTGAAGGAAAGGTGAGGACATTCAGTAATTCCCTTTTAATTTTTTATTCCTGCAGAACTTTTATCTATGGAAGAAGGATAAGAAATCTCTCAAAGACATGAAAGACCAAGACAAGGAGTTACTAATCCAGGTAAATAGAATAAGCACACACACCACAAGTGAAATATTGCATTTCGTTCCTCACATTGACCCCCTTTCATCCCTTCTTCCACTCTGCAGGAGAACTTCTGCGGGACTTCCATCATTGTGCCTGATCTTGAGGGGGTGATGCACCTCAAAGACGACGGCAAGAAGTCCTGGAAACCAAAGCTCTTCCAACTGAGGGCCTCGGGAATTTATTATGTGCCCAAAGGGAAAACCAAGGTCAGGGGTCATGAGGGGACATTTTGTGTGGCAGAGACCAGAATCAAATCACACATCCAGCAGCTAATAATCTAATCCTGCATATATTCAAGACTCAAGCAACTAGTGAAAGATAATATAGAAACATTTGTGTCAACTGAAACCTTATTAAATATATAAGGTTAGTTTATCTGGGCCTGTACAGTCCTTGAGTAGTCTTTCTGCTTTATGAACCACATTCTTCGTTCATGCATTGTTGAATGTAGCATTCTAGTAGATGATCAATTCAAAAGTCAAACAAATAAACGACAAATGAAGACAATGTCTAATATGAACCATTATCTCTTTTTTCAGTCATCCCGTGACCTGGTCTGCTTTGTCCAGTTTGACAATGTAAATGTCTACTACGGTAAAGACTTTAAGGGCAAATACAAAGCCCCAACTGACTGCTGCTTTTTTCTGAAGGTAAGTTAACTTAACATTGCTCCATTATTTCTAATATCCAGCTGGTAGCAACAAATGGTATAAAAAATCTTTATAGAAGTCTATGAGAAAGATTAACCTACTTCTCACTTTATTTATGGTCTCAATCTGCTACAAGTTTTCTTCAATGCAGCATGATGTTTATTTTGTGGTCACATTTAGAATAAAAGGTCCACGCTCACGCCCTTTTTACAACATGCTGCAGCTTCCCCTACACCGAGAACACCAACATTCTTTATGCCCTGTCAGTTTTGCTGTTGAAGTTGTAGGTGTTATGAGGCCTATATCACACTTTAGATAATGGAAATAATAATCCAGTATTTAGAATCACGATCTGTACTGGGGAGTCAACTTGTATGGATGAATTGTATTGTCTGTTAGTATGATACTGACCTGAGCAAAAGGAATTTTCCTTTGTAGACTATAAGGAATATCTAAAGGCTAGTGTCTGTCTGTCTGTCTGTCTGTCTGTCTGTCTGTCTGTCTGTATCAATGCAGAATTGCTTAATTTACCACAGTCTCTGAATATTTGGTCAGCTACAGCTGCTTACTTGGCTGAAAACGAGAAATGCAATAAATAGTTTCATTTGAAGAAGTGAAAGGAGACGCTTTTATCCAACTTAGCTGAAAGTGGCGAGAAAGAAAGATGACCGCTTAAGCAGTTCCTAATATTTCTCCAAATGTAGTTACTGTGAAAGCCCCATGCATTTAATTAAAAAACGGTAATGGGAGGTACTCACGGTACTTATTCAAGACCAAGAAATGCTGACTAACATGAAAAAAGCCAGAACGTAGTGCGTTTTAAAGGGAAGTGAAAGTCTACTTTTATTATCTTCCTCCTATCTTCTCAGGGGAAAACTAGAATCAGCAGATCCCATACACTAGTTGTTGAGGATCCGAGCAAAAAGAGCTTGGAGAGGCATGAAACTGAATTACCTATGAGCAAAAGTTGGAGTTTTCAAGGATTGAGCTGAAGGAGCAGCTGACCTAGGTCAGCTGCAGAGGAAAACGACCTGTCGTAGTAACATTTTGGAGGGCAAGCCAGGTTTCATATGGTCGATTGTTGCTTAGGAATCATGAAGTAAAACTGTTTAAAGCTTCTTTAGATGTGGTAGATGGTAAAAAAATGATACAGCAATAGCTGAAGCTGTTTTTCGCCTGCCAAAATGTTTAATTAAGGTGTGTATTGACAGATTGCCCGGCTGGCTGCTCAAAACTGCAGCAATTCAAGGAAGAGCAAAACAGTTTGGCTTCATTATTTTGCTGTTTTATATTCACAGGAGCGGCCTGAGGGGATCTCTAACACCATGCCAATTATGTATATAACTGATATCAGGATATAACATGAAAAGTCAACTTCCTCTTTAGGGGAAAACAGTTGACACACCCATAAAGTGTGCACTCTACTGCAACTATCTGGTGTGCACTTACTGGCATAAATCAAACAATTACAATTATGTGTGCATTTAATATCTCATACAACATAAATCAAACAGGATGTACCTAATAGCACACATTTGGCTGCAGGATTCTAATGTATTTTTCTAATCTGCTCATGTTCAACAATGCTAACTGGAGTATTCCAGAACAGCGGTCCCCAACCTTTTTCAACTCAGGGCCCACTTAAGAATCAAAAAAAAATGTGCGCCCACATTCAACCATAAACAATACGGAGGCTGAATAAAGTTCTGATTGGTCAATTCAGAACATTGGACACATTGTAAATCCAGTAGAACAGACCGCTGTCAAGGACTGTAATGACCGTTGCTAATGAGGATCGAGAAAGGAAAAGAGGTTAAAATAAAAACAAATCTTAATAATCAAAATGTTTCCACATAATGTTTTGCAAATTATTTGGCGGTAAATATTGAATTTACATTTACACCCTTTAATATTTTATTTGGGCTTTTAGTTGAAGACACACAGTTAATAAATAGAACTT